GCGTGTCACCTTGAGTCTTGAGGATTCCCCAAGTGCTCTTAGCAACCGTTATCACCTCAATTTATACGTTTATGGGGTGATGTTTCCGGCAGAGGTCAGTTGAGCCCAGACAAAGTCCGCCAGAGGCTCATTTGAAAGACATTTACAGTGGATGCGCACACCTTATTTCCAATGGGGTTCTCCCCAACAGCTTTGCGGGGGCCAGTAGAAGCCTCCGTGAACCCCGTTGGAGTGGAAACACCCCTCTCGGCAGAACACTGCTGCGACGATGGACCTCTGGTGACGCGTCCCCTGCATAGGAGCAAACCGTTCTGGCCCCCATATTTCCGCGTTTTGGCATTGACGTTCGCCTCTTTGGCAGTGCTATATTGGGTATTACGCTGCTTCGACCGTCTGAGGTCTGGACGGAAGTCAGCTGGCACATCGAGGGCGCTAGCCGACGTCAACGAAACGGCGTGCCTTGGCGACCACGGTACCGACACAGATAAGGAGGGGGGGGAATCTGAGGATGGTGGGTTCCCCGGGCCGTCTCATGAGGCCCCGCATACGCTGCCATCCGAGCTTCCCGCGGCCCAAGGTATGGAAACAGCAGCGGCAAATGAGGCGTCAGCTCACCTTCTTCAGGAATGGTCTGGGGCGGATGGCGATGCCTTTTGGCAGTGGTATCCAGAGACTGCAGGTGGTGCAAGTGCGGGGGAGCCGTTTCTTCAGTGGACGCAACATCCGCAGGAGCTCCAGTTAGATCCGTTGCATGCCGGTGGCATCTATTTTCCGCCTGGAGACTTACACCAAAGCATGTATGAACCACCGGGTCTCTCTGCACATCCGTTAAGCCAAGAGTCTGCTACTCAAGAGCCATATATGTCTATGGCACCCTATACAGATACCTCCTATCCCTATTCCAAAGAACTAAGTGACCAAGAGGCGGTCCTTCTCCCCGTCGCGTACTTGGAGGGACCAAGGTATCAAACTCCACATAATGCGATGGAGTCGGCGCAACTGCAGTTCAGTCAGGGTGGGCTGCGCACTCATCAGGACGGCGATTCTACGTCTTCCGGTGAAGCGCCCGAGGGGGGATCTGCTCAGAAGCAGCGTTTCAATGTTGGTGAGACGCGGGAAGATTGGGAAGGGCGAGGGTTGCCTCCTCCAGCACGTCAGCAGATCGTAAATCTTCTGGACTGGATGCATAGAAATGCTTGCATGTGTAACAGTGTACTTCCTTTTCTTAGCACGGACCAGGGTGCGCGTTTGGCTCTCATCACTTTGAAGATGTTGACGCTGGATTTAGGGGTCTTGTCGCTTCTTCCCGAGGATCTTGAGCCTGTTCGACAATCTGTAGGTGACGCCCTCTTAGAATTAGTAGAAAGCACGACATCCTACAAGGGAAAAGGCCAAGAAGAAAATTACATCAAAGAGGTCAGCCGCATGGCCCCTTTGATTCGGCAAATCATGTTGCCAAGGCATGAGGATAGAGTCCTGGATCCTGAAAAGCGACGAGCTCGGACGCTTACCATGACTGGATTGATTCGAAAGACTAACCAGTATTTGGCGAAGATATTGTGGGAGATATCCCGGTTTGCTGAGTCCTCTCCACTTGAGGATTTAACGAAAGCAGTAGGGCAGTGCATTAAAGTTTTGAACGGCCTATGGGAGGTGCATAGGAAGTACGTCAACTTGGACAGAGTCCACCGCCGTCATATTGTGACATGCCAAGGAGACACCAACACCTGGGTGCTTTTAAGCCGTCAGGAGATACATACTGATGGCAAAGATATATTCCCCCCATTCGAGAAAATCATTCAAGAATTTGAGCAGGCTACTCTCAGTGCTGGAGGAATCCCACGCATTGCCGCAAGCGTTTCTGAGACTGCAGGGGATAGTGCCAACACCGCAACAGATTACTTGGCGTGGTGGCCATTTATCCCTCCAAGTACTGAGAATTCCCACCTTGGTGTTCCTACCTCTCCACAACAGAGCCACATGACTTCTCCAACCGATCAGTACCCCCATCCCTCAAGCACTGAGCCCATCACTCAAGCCTTGTCTCCTGAAGGATGGTTAGATGATCAAACCCCTCCAGGATGGTAAACCACCACAACTTCCTAGAGAACCGTATCCGTATGGTTGGCCTTTTACAGACGTTGATCAGTGGATTTTGGCACCTTCTCATGGCGCACTAACACCAGGGTCATCGCCGGTTTCAAGGCAACGTTGGACGTTGACGGAAGCTCCACTTTCAACCCAACTTGCGGAGAGCCAATTAAGTGTTGGCTTCATGCACGCTGATCAAGCTGGAGGTGCATCCATAAGAACGCATAGTCTTTACCAAGGAGAGGGCTTGCACACTGGCCGCAAGGGTCAAGATCCAGATACTTTGGCTCGTCATCGACGTTCCCTGAAAAGCGCCTTCTCTGGCGGCCTGAAGCTGAAAATGACGAAGCGCAGGGAGGAAGCTGACTCAGTAAGAGCTTGTCGAAAGACCGAGTAAAATTGGTTTGGTGCATTGGTAGTATAGAAGGAGCTTACATTGCTGGGTACGTTGTTGTCAGCACTGTGGTCTTGCCTGATATTTATTGTTTTGTCTCATTTCCATCCGCTTGCTTGCAGAAGCAAATAAAACTTTTTTTTAATAATTTTTGACGGCCGCATTCTTGGGTTTGTGTATTTATTCTTCGGCCCTTATTTTTATTGTCCCAAGGGCGCAATGCAGCAATTCATTAGATGTTTTCATGTTTACGCGCTCTGCTTCCTACTCATGACCTCATTATTGTACTATGACTGGGTGCTGTTGTCATGGAAAGCTGCACGTGTGGGCATGTGTAAGAGACAGAGGCCAATATTGATTTTGGCGCAGCACGTAGTAGAGCGGCTTACCCTGGATTGCACCTGCAGGTTCTTGAAAAGCGCTGCTCCCAAAGCTTTCATGGGAAGCGTCTGTTAATGGCGCTTGCTTCGTAGCGTTTTATGAATTTCCAAATGACTTGGGTGACGTTTGCATGGCAGCAGCTGCATTTAGTAGTGAGTGTCGCCCTCTAGTTTGCCTCTAGCCTACTGGCGTAGACTGCCGAGGGTCGGCTGCGTGCACTTTGTAGCCTTTGAAACATAATGAGCTTTAATGGAAGCCTTACTCACAACTATTTTGCATTTGGTTTGTCGCACGCATCGACTTAATCACTAAAACTACGGCAGTTAACGGCATTGCTATCTGCATTGTGCGCCCAGCACACTTAGATGACATACGTAGTAATGGGGAAGCCCAGATGTCCACTACATTTGGGGTCTGTTCCGGGATATTATACCCTATTCGCCTTTAGTTTCTCCTCTTTTCCCCTTCATATAGTAAGTGTTTTATATGAGCCAATGACTTCGGAAACAGTACATTGAGCGAAAACATGATGCCTCTCTATAACGGCACAGTAACGGCCGCACACAGGTCATCCCCGAAAATGCCTGTAGAACGTGAGGCCAGACGAGCCAGTCCAGTTAGGACATCCCTCCCTCCTACATACACCCCCCACAAATCCACAGAACCACCTCAGGTTGTTGCACCTATGAAACCAGTAGCGGGGATGCATCTGATAAAGGAACAAGCGAAGGAAATTGCAAGATTAAGGCGGGACCTCGCACAAATGCAGAACAATCTACTAAAGAAGAGTCTGCCACGACCATGGCCTGTTGAGGGACCGATAATCATCTTTAAGAGGGAAGACAGCATGGAATCCTTCCTGCCGCTTAAGGAATATCGGTTTGCCGAGATGGAACTGCCGACAGCACGTTGGGGCGATTTGCTAGGAGAATACCTAGAATGGGAAGCCCTACAATTCTGGGCTCACCTAAGGCAGACAGATATGGATATTACAAACTGGTATCTCATGAGACGAGAACTTGTTCAACGTTTTTGCTTGACAGATCGGGCTGTCCTCATACGACAGATGGTGGCCAACAAATGGACGGTTGACCACAGAGCACACGTAGTCAACTTCAGCAAGATCGTAGCTAAGGGAGCCTAGCTGTCCGCAGATGACCTAGTCGGTTATTTCTTAACTAACATTCCACCTCGGCTGCGATGGGCTATCACCAAGCGAGGCACACTTAAATATGCAAATTGGAGAGAAGCAGCAGCAGCTCTAGCCGCAATAACCGTCCCATGGAAAGCAGAAGAGGACGAGTTCAGGAAACGAGAGAAGGAATTCCAACTGAACTTAGCGGGAGGGGTCCCAAGGGCTAGTCGTGTAACTGCTCCAGTGGGTTCCAGGTTGCCTCAACAGCATGTGAATGACGGGGCTGGAACGGTGTGCTACAATGCAAAGGCAAATGGCACTTAGCTAGCAGCTGTCTCTCGGGTAACCGTAGAAAGCACAGGTTAGGAGAGAGATGCAAGAAGTGTGGGGGCGTAGGACACTACGCTAGAGACGGCCCAATATCGGCACGAAGAGTGATAAAGAATAGAGACAGCCAGCCGATCACACGTTCTAGGTATCTTCAGCCAGGTAAGCTGCGAACCCACGTGAATGAGACTTGGGGTGATCTAATGCTAGTCAGTCATATGGAGAAAGGACAAAAGGGGCCACACTCTAGAGGACCCCAACAGAGCAGGCATACGTCATCATCTCTAGACATGTGGCGGGCAGTTTGATGGACCAGGTTGCGGCCATCTTACGGCCGCCACGTCGGCGGTTCCGGACCCACGCGAGGGCGCGGGCGAAGGTATCGATTGTTTCTTTAGTTTAGCAGGCTAAGGCAAGTGCGCAGGGAATTTATCGCTTACTGGTTTCCCCGTTCGCCGGAAAGACTGTGTGGGTATGTAGCAATAAATAAGCAGCGAAGGGGACTGTGCTACACATGGATTGGAATTCGTCCCCCGCCAGTCCGTTAAATCACTAACCAAGGTTATAATGCCACAACAGCTGAGGAAGATGAGGAAGAGTCACCGAGGGCCGAGGCAAAACTCGGCTATTTTCAATTGGAAGACTGGTCGGTGACTGCAGAGGTACTGCGGATCTGTAAGTTCCTCGAGGCGTTCCGGGACGCTAGAAGGCCTTCCCCGAGCACTTCCGTCCAAGCACTATGACGAGTATCACACAGTCCTTGTGCCCGTTTGGATTCATGCCTATGCGCTTTCCATCGTGTTGTTAGTACTTCGTGTTGTGAACGGGGGGAAGGGGTGATAGAGCACCAGTTTTGGGTTAGGGTGTCATCCACATAGTGAGTAGCTTGGCATAGGCGCACACTGACACTTACAGCAGGAAGCTTAAAGTAAAGGGAAATGCACTAAGGCAAATGGTGTGGCAGGTGAAACTAAGTGCAAAGCGTAGCACAACACTACAGCAGGTAGGCCCTTTACTCCAGAATCATGGAACATCCCGATAGCGACACAACGGAAGAAACATTAAGGAATATGGGGTTTAGATGAGAGGAGAGATAAACAAACTGGGGAGTGGTTTCAGCTATGAAGTCGGGGTGAAGCTGTAGTGCACGCGCAGTACATAGAGCGCATGTGGTAAGCTTAGAGGTCTAGTTTCACGAAAGGGAACAATTAGAAATATAACCACACGTATATTGGAACTCCTTAGACAGAGGAGAGGTCAAATGAGTTAGGAGTGCTCGTCCGCCTAAACGACGCCTAAGGCTGACCGTGAAGCTAACGTAGTTGCTCTGGTTCAGATTCTCTCTGTGGAGGAGTCGGGGAGTTCTATTGTTCTGGGTTTTCCCCATTAATTATACGTACTCGAATAGGTTCGGGGGAATGTATTATTGGTTAGTGGAACGTTTGGGGATGGTGTGTAGAAAATAGATACCAGATGTAGAGTGTGCCTTTAGACCGGCACACTTTGGTGACATAAGTAAAAACAGCGAAGTCCAGCTCTTCTTCACTACAATATGGCTCTCGCATGTCTTACAACCATGCACCCGGTGATTCCTCCTAGTGTATTAGGGAAGAATGCGGACTACTTGCCGATGATTTCCTCTTACATTAAACCTGAAAGCATAGAAAGAAGGACTAAAACGATGCCTATATGAGGTGTTCGCCTTTACGATTGCTGTTGGCCAGTCTGTGGCCCTTGTAATCGGCCTGCGACAGCACAAAGGGCCCGAAAAACACACGGGAAGGCCGCTTTGCAAAGTTTCATACCTAGAAAATATAAGATAAGACTCTTTTCCATTCACATGTTCTCTGTTTTTGCTGTTTGTTGAACCGTTTGCACGGGGCCCGCTGCTGGATGGGCTGGACATGCCCGCCCGTCCGAGAATTATTGATCGTCAGCAGCGCACGGCAGAGGGTGTACAGATACAAGATAATCTCATTTAATTCTTAATACCGATAGTTAAATGCAAAGGTTCAGTCGGCAACAGCTGTATTTATGGACTGGTGCATATTAGTCTGCATATCCCTTCCGTTGGCGCTTCCGTCATCAAGCGCCGTCGCTGCCTGCCCCTGACCCAGCAGATAGTTTGCGCGGCTTCCCTATACCTTTGCATCTACGGCCACTCATTCGATATTTGAAGTGAATCCAACACGGGAGAGTGGTTCTTTTGGATAACTTGTACGTGTTGGCGGTGAAGGGAGGCCTGCAGTGCACACGGTAGGAGGCCTCCGACCTTCGTATCGAAATCATTTGCATCGACTGAAGAATCCAAGCTGCTTGCATGTTCTGTGTGGGCCATTTATAAAGTTGTGGCTGAAGGTATGGGGGTGGCTTTAGGACGTAGACAGCAGAGTTCGCGGGAGAAGTCTAGGTTCAGCCTGTTCCGCGGACACTCTTCGTTCCAGTGGTCCCGTACATACCTGCACTAATCCGAGACAATGCCTAGCAGCGCAGCGGTCTCACCGGACTGGATTCGAACCCCATTAACTGTATCCTTGCAAAGGGGGACCACCATTATTCGCTGCGCTCGTAAGCTCTGGCTGAAAAGTGTGGCACCGGATTCATCTACATATAGAGCTCAAACATATATGACACTTGATTACGCGTAGTTTGAATATATTGTGGAATCAGTTAAAAACAGCAGAATATTGCGTGTCTGGCCGTTTTTCGCAGCTCCCAAGGCAATCGTCGAGCCGAAGACGGAAGAACAAACCTGTGTGATCGCAATTTCCCTTCCCTTCGCCTCCTTCTTATCCCTTGTGCAGTTTTTTCGTCTTCCTGCCCGCTTTCGGCATTTTCCATAGGCATTTTGCATTGTACATGGCAATCTATTTGCATACAGTGTCGCCTAGCCTACAATGCCTGCTTTGAACATTCTTTGTGCATCTTGAATATGTGCATGACTGCAGTTACCGTGCATACAGTGCCATTGCTGCCATTGGTACTGTTCGTACGTCTGTCACCGCTGCAACTATACTGCAGAAGGTTCCATCTTACCGAAAACTACATGCATCAAACACTCGTATGGGTATGTTTCCCTTTTTCGCCCCCAGATTCACAGCACTACGGTGACGTGAAGCGGCGACGAGCCCCAGCGCCGTCTCCACCGGAGGGTGTCCAGCATGGAGAGCTCTCGGGACTTGCCAGGCATCCTGGGCTCTTGAGAGCCATCAGGCATCTGCCCAGGGAGCCTTATAGGAATGCAGCTTCCCTAAGGCGATCCAAAGCCTGCGGGATGGCGGACCGGATGAGAGACACCGCATTGGGTGATTCCCAATGCATCACGACCATAGAAGACCACACAAGGGTTCGTCTGCTGCTGTACCATGCTTCCTGTTTGGTAACGTCGTGCTCTTAACATGTGTCTCCTTGTGCCATTCACAGTGCCGATGACTCTCTTTTAACACTTATGGCGTCCCCACTAACCTTCCTCAAGCGGTAACGACGAATAACAGACGGGTTAAATGCCCGTGTGTGGTCTTTGTTTCATCTCAGGAACCTACAAGGGTGCCTAATCATCCCGTTAGCGAAGAAAACAGCCTCTACAGTTCTGGGACTGGTGGCGAGAGGGGAGGTGAAGATGGCCCTGCTGCTTTCGCGCTGCCTGAAGCTCTGCCCTCCCCTAGGATTGTGGTGGATTGGAGCCAAGAAGGTCCCTATTGCCATGGACACACGCCAAGCTCAGACAATGCACTCAGACGTAAGAGAAGCAGAATAAAGCAGCTGTGTGCGTTACACATCGCATACTTTCAATTCAAAGCTCTAAACTTTGCGGAGTACATGATAATACAGTTCCTGATTCATGGGGGGGGATGTGAAGTGCTACTTTGTTGTTTGGCCGAGGCGGCGAGCAGATTGTATAGTTGTGTCGTATTGCATTTTGATGGACAAAATGATAACAAATAAGCCTAGAACGATGGGTAACCTCCTTCGTCGGGACGCCCGGTAATACTACTGAAAACTAGCCGGGAGTGGCTTAACGGAAAATGCATGGTGTTGCATCTCCTTGCCGGGCGAATAGAACGCTGGTTTGTGGTCAGAAGAGGGTAGGAGATGGTGAATGCTGTCCTGTGGGATGTGCAGCTGCGAGCCACTCCACCGATGAGGCGGTGGTTAGGGGGTATATCGGCATCGCACTTGCTCTTCTACGCCACTTTGAGGAGGCGCTAGGGACCCGGCAGCGAATTACGACGGGCAGCTTAGAGTGTGCGGAGACTGTTTGCAATGCATTAAATGCAATTCAAGACCCAAACCCCAGATTCCAGTTGCTTGCGCAACGTATTGCAACTGCTATTGCCCTTCTACACAGGCGCAAAACGCTGGAAGATCGAGATGCAGAAGAACGGGGGGTTGTTTACGGGGAAGTGGTAAGGCAATCCAAGCCTCCAAGGGGCCTGGTAGTGGCATTGCCATGGTGGAAACGCACATACGGAAGTATGCTTTTTGCGTTTACCCTATTTTTACCTTGCTGCAGGAATTCCCATATCCCGGACTCAATACAACCAGTTGGACCTCGTTTCTGCGGGGCTACACCTCCCCTCTGTACCCATCTCGTTCCAACGGTATTGAGGGGCCGGAGGTTTCTTCGTGGTCCCCTGAATCCCCCCAACAAACCCAAGAAGGGGCTATGGACCCATTGGGGAACCCCAAGAGCTGCACTAGCTTTCCCTTGCAAACTGTGCAGTGTAGGGGGAGGCAGCAGCGACGCATTGCCGGGCCTCCACCTCCCAAAGTTGTGTCTATGCATGAAATAGCGAGTAACGTGGGAACCGATCCCGAAGGACCTCTGCAGGCGGCATCAAGCTCACCACGACCGTGTGGGGGAGGGGTTGTGAAGGGTGGCACTAGCTTGGAAGACGCTGCAATAGCTGTTCCCGCTGGGAAACGTGGGGACGTCTGCCTGCAAGGCAGTAGTTCGTTGGGGGCATCGGAGGTTAAGTCAGGCATGACTTTCGGGCATTCAACGGGTACTGCCACTCTATTTCCTCCGTCTCAAGAGCTCCGAAGGTCTTTAGCGAGAGTGGCAGGCCGCCTTGAGAGGCCCTACAGCACTTTGGAGCCCATGCGGGAACCAGCAGATCTTGCTGTCCTCTCTCCGTCCAACGTTGGAAGGGGGACTCAGCAGTCCTCAGCTGATCCACTTAGGGCCAACCTTGTTGAGAAGCGTGGCGTGGAGGTGTTCTCAAAAGCTAAGCCAAGCCAGAGAGAATTGTGTACTGCCGTACCCTTTCGAAATCTGGAAGAGAACCTGCGTGTGCGACCACTTGTTCTCAGCGAAACTCACGTCCTGGCGGACAAGCAGAGTGACCAGGGAAAAGAGGATCCTAACCGTGAGCAGTAGCTGCCGTTGGCCGTATGTTTCTGCTGCCCTGTTGGGTGCATTTTATGAACGTATATGGTGCACTTGTTTAGAGCCTTTCCTACACCACTCCTTCAGACCTTATTTTGTTGTGTTCTCCTAATCTACAGGCGCATCCGCTGTGGAGGCATTAGCGCTCATTAGGTGCGCCACGGACCTTATTGTTAGTGGGGAGGGGCCAGGGTTTGTTGAGAAGCAGTTTTTTAGGTACGTTAAGCCAAGCTACTATCAAATAGGAGCTGCCAGGCCGCGCATTAATGAGGGCATGACACCCGCGCAAGGCAAGTACCTCCTCCTCCACTACTCAATTGCGAAGGTTGAAGCTGAGTATGGGGAAGACACTGCTGCGACGTGCAAACATTTGTACCTTCGGGACTTGCGAAGAATGGAAGAAATCATTCTTGACCCTGTGCCTCCCCAGGGGCTCCCTACTATTGAAACTCGCAGCGGGAATGAAGGTAATTCACTATCCGGCACACTTATTGCCGCACAGCCCGTAGTGGTTGCTTTAGTGTTCTAGTGGCTCGGTTCCACATAAGATCATCCAAACACTATATATTTGTTCGCTTTGACCTTTCAGAGTTATACTCCACACTCCAGCGTTGTTTCTTAAGAAACGCTTGGAGACTTTCGTGCGCTCGAGTTTATCAGCTCTGCCTGCCCTTTTCGACGTGGCCACATACCTCCGCCGCCGTTGCTCTAGACGAGTCTCTTCGAATGCTGATGTGGCGGACGTGTGCTTCAGGGCAGGAGTCCCAACGCCCAAGTGGTGCGCCAAGAGGTGCGCATTCGCTGCCAGAACGATCACCTGAGGAACGGATGGAGCGCCGTTTGCCTCTGACGATTCTTAGTCTTCCTTCAAGCACCCCACCACAAGAAGCAGGCAAGCGTCGCCGGGAGTCGTTGCATCAAGTGCTCACCGATTGCTCTCACCGCCTGCCTTCAGACAAACAGCTACTACAGCCAACTCTGATAAATAAAGAGAAGTCACCAGGGAACAGCAGTCGTGGGACGGCCTCATCTTCGCAGCTTAACACCATGAGCCTTCCGAAACCCCTTCCCAGTCTCGGCGGGTTAGCGCATAGCTTGGAGAAGTTGGCAACTGTGGAGCAGCCAACGACGACTTCAGTTGGAGAGGTCATAGACTCCTCGCGACCTCTGTCTTCAAGTTCTGCCTCTGCCATCTTGACTTCGGCTCCTGGTTTTCCTGATTTCCCCATTGCGGTTGACGGGTGGGTACGCGATGCGAGCAACAGTCCTACCTTATCGCGGCAAAGTTCATCTATTGGAGGGATGGCCTCCTCTGCTTCTTTAGCCCCGTCTACTTCTCTCCCAGGGCTGCAGACGGTGCGAAGAGACACCTCATCCTTTGGCAAGTCCTTTGAGAAGCCTCCACAATCGGAAGGGGGCAGTCGAACAACGATGCTGTCACCGAAGGGAAGTCTTGACTCCATGTTAATAGGGGAAAAGGGCCTGAAGTTAAGCAACCGGAGCATTGTGCGTGACGCTTTCAGTGGGGAAGTTACTTCGGTACTGTTTGAGCCTCCAAAGAACACCGCAGGAGAATCTATTCTAGGTACGGCAACTTCTGCTGCACTGCAACAAATCAGTGATCAGCGGGCCGAGTCTTTGACCCTACCAGAATCGCCAGTATCTGGAAAAGCATCTTCCAAGGTTTTGTGACTCTGGCGAGCCTTCATTCTTTGTGTAGACTCTGAGGGTGGTTGGTGTACACACGAAAGCAGAAAATCACCCCTACGAAGCGGCTTATGGGCGTTGGTTCTTGGGGCAAGGGTCAACGAGAATACCATGCAGGAGTTTGGCGTTCCTTGTGCCGTCGGTTCTCGTGTATTGTGCTCAAGACTGCGCTTGTGCATTTCCCTCTTGTCAACAACCTCTTGTCGACGTCTCCAGCAGTGTGTAGAGTAGGCATGGACAGTGTAAAACATTTTTGGAGGCCTAGACCTCTCCTCCATAACATTATCCCAACAGTTTTTCAGATTGTAGACCACACCGAGCATAGATTCATAGACACTAGCCCCTCTTTGCGAGTGGCTGAGCAGTTTTCAGGGAAAGGTTTTACAATGGCCAACTAAGGGGGGCTGCGCGTCCAAACCGTTGTACTCTCTAGCACTGAATCAAGGAGCGAGTTTCAATGTTGAGAAATATTTTTGCTCGGATGATAAACACAGCACCTCACCGGGAGTTGTTAACCCGGAGATTTTACGCCATACTTTAATTTCCTCTGGAGTCCCCACGTTTTTGCATGTGTCCCAATGGGTGCATGCTGCCGTGGTGAGTTCGAAAATATGTGTGTGTTGTTCGTGTACCAATGATGATATAGTGGCAGCCCCAAACTGCAGTTTAATCTTCCATCTACGCCAGTGTACTGACCCGCGAATGACCAGTAAATTGCTGAGTGCTACGAATGGCAAACTACTGCTGCTCGCCTTCTCTGGCCCGCCCTGTAGAGTGCATATCCACCAGAAAGAGGTCCCGTGGGCTAAAAAATACTCGCGAATGCCGTTTGTTGTACTCTCTTCCCCGGCATTCCTGCATTATGCCCTTACATTAGCTTACAGCAGCTTATGAATGCCTAGGCTGCTGTAAGGTATGTATGGGAACCATTACCAGCCAAAAAACTGAGGTGCTTGCTGCCAAAGTCCACCTACATGGTGTCACCGCTGCTCTGTTGTGAAGGGTTGTCGCGGGAGATCGGGTTGAATACAACGATGTTGATTATTTACTCAGCAAATGAAAGAACCGGCCCCTTCGGTACGGGTCAGTAAATAATGCATTTATTTTGTCCACCCTGCTTTCGGGTGTTTCACCGTGATCACCTTATGTGCTAGCCGCTCCGTTTTTCTCCAAAAGGTGCGGACATTTGTCGGATCCTAGCTTTCAGAAGGCGGTGGACTTTGCAGACATAACTAGGGAATATTAGGGATACTGTGAGGCGCTCTTAGATACGGAGACTTCGAGAAGCTTCATGAGTCCACAGAGCGTGAGAGAGTGGAACGTCTACAGCTAACAACGCGGCGACTGCCAAAGAAATGTGCGTTCACAATAGCTAATGGTGGACAGTTGCATACTGATCGTGTCGTGAAAGGGTTATCGATGTGGTGAGGACGTGAAAGATTCTCTTGAGATTTCCTTGTAAGCCGTGCCGCGTGGGATGCGGTGCTGGGGTTAGCCTCGTTACAGGGCTTAAGGGAGCTTGGTATTTTCAGTCTGACAAGCTGCGAATCTATCTGGATTGTGGGTTGTGTGAGCTACCTACTACACTCATTTGTGCGGGGAAACCAAAAGAGGGCAGAACAACAAAGGTGAGCTTAAGGATCCCTGCAGGGCATCTATGTGACCTCCTAGCCAAGCAGCTGGCCAGCATGACAGCGGAGGAGGCCGAATAATTCCTGCATTCGCCTCCTAAGATATATGCCTCGTGCTGGAAGAAGGTGCCAGTCCATGGATTCCTCCAACTTGCAAAGGAGGAGATGCAGGGACTACGGGATCTTCTACAGGGGCTGAGACTCGAATTGGCTTTGCCCCAATGCCCGTAGGGCATTGGATGAGAGACTAGGAATGTTGTTCTGTGCAGTAAGCGCCTACAATTCCACACATGAACGGCCGACCGGTCCTTGTTTCCCTGGCGGGCGCTATGATGAGGATGACTCGTCGTCGTCAACGGTTGAGCCCGAGTTTTCTCAGTTCGATGAGTGGTTAGAGTCAACCGACTTAAGGAAACGCTTAGATAGTGTGTTGAATATGAAGGTCTACTTCTTGAACAGCTACAGCCAATCCTTTTTTGGCCGGCAACTAGTTCAGGTGTCAGCGTCAACAACGACGCTTGATCTTGGGCCTCGTCCAATTATAAGGTAATCCGTTTCTTTTCAGAGCCCATGATTCCTCATATTCTGTGTTTTTATGTGCCAACTTCTACTTTTGTTGTCGCCGAGGTACATTCCTCTGCCTGCAAGGAGTTTATTCCCACGCTGCGTATATCATGTTGTCTTCTTTGGACAGCCTGGGACATCGATCGGCGCCAACAAGGCTCACTGTTCACTCAAATAAACGCGATTGCCTTGTATGTTCCGAGTCCTTACCGAAGGGGGAGACGCTATCGCAGCATGCAGTGTTAACGGACCGGAGCGAGACGGCCTTCAATGTCCTTCGCAGAACTGGAAGCCATCTTATGCCCATCTGCAGCAGCCTCATCTCTTCAGCATTATAGGTGAGCAATTATTCGGCTAGACGCTTAAGTGGGGTGCTGCGCGGACACAAGGCAGAGCAGCAGAAGCAGCCCAAGGTCGCCGTAGCTCCGCAGCAGCATGAGGGAATTACAGGCTAATTCAGCCATATTCACAGCCTCGACCGGCATACCAAGACTGCTGTTACCTATGCGAGAGGCAAAGATATGTACGGGAGTCTGTGCGCTGTTGGCAACCATCTGAAGCTGACACGTTTACCCATACTTACCCTGGCCCATTACACAAATGGTAAGCAAAAAAGTCAAGAGCTGTATACAGTGTCAATTCATACAACAGTAAAGGCTTGTTTACGCCACTATGGATGGCTACCTCGCTCCTTTCAATGAAGCGAAATGCGTTGCGACTCAAGACAGGTCGCCTCCTCTCCCGCAACACCTCGCGGTTCAGCCGCTGCTGTCTGGATGTCGAGAGACTCTCGACGTAGTCTACCTGCTTTTAGCGAATAATTTTAAGTGCACTGGCTCTATTACAGCTCACAATAGCCGTCGAAAAAGAAACAGGACTGGGTGGGCTCGGCGTTAAAGCGCCACTGAATGCTGTACGATGAATGCATGAGTATGAAGGTGGGAATACAAAATTTTTGCCTAGTGGTTAAGCGTCCTCAGCATAAGCAAACGATCTGGCACAATTTTACGGTCTTCTGGTGGCGTCTGCGGGGTTATCAAGCCCCAAATACTGCCATGTGTGAAATACTCATCCAACTATGTACGAATAGCTACATATTTAGAAACTCCGTCCCTCGATACCTTGTGCTATTTCATTTGTTGCTGGTTTATGTATTTCTTTCGGAGCTTTAGCCTTCTGCCGTGCTCGGGAGCGCAACCGCCATGGTGACTTCGTGCCGCTGTGCTTATCTAATGGACGCATGCGGACTGTAGTTGCCGGTTACCATCTCATCATAGACACTCCATCGGATTATTCACCCAGTTTATTCATTGAATTATTCTTTGAGGGCCTGATATGTACAATATTGTGTTCTTGATTGTGAATAGCATTCAGCCGGTGCAGCTGTTGCGCGCCCGTCGTCGGTGAAGCCCAAGAGGGCCTGATCAATCCAGATCGCATTTACTGTAAATATTATTATGCCACTTCACCTGTTCTAATTTCAGTGCCTGTACAAATTGAGGACTCTCATGCGCTGAGCCGCTGAACACAACTGGGGGGAGGGCGGGTGCAATCCACTGGTAGAGATGATGACGGTGAACTGGGCAGTAGCGATATCCCTTTTGGGTTTGTTGGTGACTTCGTGGTACTACGTAAACATGCTAACGTTGACGCAACAGCTGCAGCAGGCAAACACGTTGAATGCGATGCATGCCGAGTATTCATCATCGAAGACGTTGGAAGCCCTGGAAATCCTCGAGGAGTTCATCGACGAACGAGGCGTTGTGAACTATGCATTCGACTTCTTAGAGTTGAGGAGGAAAAGGGACGCAAAGGGTCGGGCTATCGATCGCGCACGCCGCCATCTGACACAATGGTTTTCTCGTGTCCAGTATTTCTATGAATTTGGGTATTTGAAGCATGAATACATTTTGCGCTTCCCGGGGCCTGAGCGGAGCCGCCACTTCCTGCACTTGATTGAACCCTTAGAGTTCATCAGCCGAAGAGCGACTGGCAGAAAGCACTCTGGCGTATTCGACTTCCTCAGGGAAGTCTACCAAATGCCCCATGTCCGCCTCTCCGACGAATTCAGGCAAACAGTTGAACAGATGCTTCCAATTCAAGGAGAGGACCAAACATCAGAAGCTATTCTGGATGACGTGGGCGACGACCCGCTTTCGGATGCAGATGACAGGAAAAGGGAGGAAATGTAGTCTGCTGCTGCAACAGCTGTCGTCATCCCAGCATCAGCCACAGAATTAGATGCTGCTTTAGGTGAGGAGGCAACAGCACTTGCAACAGCAGCGGCAGTTGGGGCCGATGCAGCTGCTGTCACGCAGTGGGTTATGCCGATGAGTGCTCGTTTATCAGGTTTAAAAGCTTGCGAACGAGCCCCCGAAGTGTGACCCTTTTTAGTTTTGACTTGTCGGTTCCATTTGTTCACATAAAAAAAGGCCGGGAGAGTTTTTGTATAGAGTACGTTTGAGCACGCATGCTGCCATATGCGTGCATTCTAGCTTGCCCGGCAGCAGCTGCAACAACCATTGATAGCTCCCCGCCCAGTGTGCTCGCCTCTCCACCACGAGGCGTCCGCTACACAACTGGGGCAGCACTTAGAGTGCTGCCCCAGTTGTGTAGCGAACTACACATATGGGGGGCAGACACGTCAGCGGACGGCAACGCCCACAAGCGCATGTTGAATAGTTCGTTACAATCACTAACAGTTAAAGCTGTACCCAGCCCTCTGTCGTGCGAGTGAGAAATATATGGCGGGGGAAGGTGCGGACAGCGAGAGGCCCCAATAAGCGCGCAGGGGCCCTCTATGCTCCAGTAGGCTGCGGCTTGCATATACGAGTAGATAAATCCTCCTCGTCAGTTGCTCAAAAGCAGCTTCACAAAGTCGGCATATTTAATTCGGCCGGTCTTGCTCGGATCGGCGTCATTAACCATACGCTCAACCTCCTCGTCCGTCAGAAGATCTCCTAGAGTTTTTATAACCTGGGCCACAGGGTCACACAAGCGCGGTGAAGGCATACAGGGGAAACCATACAAAATAGGTTGGGTGCGAATAAAAATGCCGAAAGAGTAAGCCCCCCATACCTAGCTGATGAGCACGTGTAGCCTACATCATCAGTGTTATGTGTAAATGCACGCTGTGAAGGTTATAAATCCACCCTAAATGTACGTGCAGTAGTTGAAGGCGGCTCCAGTAACACCACACCATATCTGGGGCAGCAAATGTTATGCTTCTTGCTTTTGCACCGAATACTGTCCCGCCCTCACTATTGCTCAACTCGTTGCTAACACAACTTTTGACGAAGTGCACACGCATATACACAGACGTGTGCACGCGGTCTTTTGAGGGCTACCGTACTTGCATGAGTTCGTCTGTCGAAAGAGTTCCGTCCCCCTTCGTGTCAAATACTTTGAACGACTTGATCAAGTCCGCCTCTGGGTTGCTGCTGCTCAGCTTCTTGCTAACCCAGCTCTCAAACTGCTCCCACTGCATGGTCTGCAGCAAACGAACAGCAGCAGCAAAACATCAACTGCTGGTTCATCTTCTTTCACAGTCCTTCCAACCGCCTTCCCTGTACTTGAAGACGCCGAGAAAATCCTTGAGACAAATAGTACAGTTTGGCGTTTGAAAAGAAACATCGTTTCGAACTTCATCTCTTTCACTCACGGCTGGCAGGCTACTAGCTTCATCGGCAGACACAATCAGCCCCGTAGAGCGTATAGCTAGTAGTGCCTCGCTGGCAGTTAACTCTCCGTCTCCATCTCGGTCAAAAAGAGCAAAGGCTTCCCGAAGGCGTGGATTTGAACTCATTTCCTGGGTGCTCAGTTTTGACAGAACCTGCAGCAAACACCGCAAAATTTCGGGTGACAAAAAGTGTGGCATACTAGTCTCCATGAACGCAAAACCATTCAAATCGCTCCAACACACATCCACGAGGCACCCAATAGGTGTTGCCAAACGCTGGAAGGCAACGGCCTATGTTCAACGTGCACACGAAAGTGTAACCACTTCGCAGCTTCAAGTGAGAATAATCCCGACGGATATGATGTTTTTTTTTCTTCACGAGTCCAAAAAATCCCATTTTGGGTGGGAATGGCGAAAACCACTCCTTGTTACAGCGTTTAATCTACCACAAACTGTGGAGCTCTGTCAGCCCTGACCGGCACGCGCGAGTATCACGCCAACGAGAATTGAACTCGAAGTGCTTTTAGGACTCACTTGAGGGGAAAACAGCAAAATGTAGTTAGGCAAATGGAGAAAAAAAAGTATTGGAGAAGTCGACGACGCACAACAAGTGGATTTGTTACCCACTGAATGTTGCTGAACGACAGGACGGCTCACCGTACCCCGGGCTGGGCTGGGCCGTTGGTACTCTCTATTTCACTTGACGAAGCCGCCACTATATCCGGCAACATCTCTATTATAGTTGCCATGTAAATTGCAATTTCTTGAGTGACTTCAGCTCCGCATTTGAACCAAAGACCACCATATCCTCGTCAAGTCTACATACAGGCGAACCCAGCCATCACGCCGCCAGCAAAAAACAGTCGATTGCATGCTAAGCGTTCTCACGTTGCTTCTGTCATCGTTGCTCCGCACAATCAATCCAGTATGATTACCTGTACGCGCATGAAAATATCCGTGGTAGAGGCTCCCCATATTTTAGAGAAACAGGTAAAAGAAGAGTCTGTGCAGTAAGTATACCAATTTCCTGGTGCAAGGGAGCTTCACATGCAAGCCTACACAATCCGCTGGTCGATGCATGGACTAACTGCGTAGGTAATTGTCAAGCACTTACGTGTTCTTAATTGGTCAACCTGTAGAAAAGGGGAAATGCATAGGCGAACTTATGACAGACTATGCTGAGGCTCGACGGATGCCATCGTTGCCGCACACAGAGGGAAGTAGATTGCGTGGCTGGTCAAGCGTATTGATCACTCCCTAGCACAGCAGCACTACCAGCTACTAGATGCAAAGAGTAGGGGCGCATTAACCCCAATGCGAAGCGTACGTGCGTCGGCAGGCTATTAACTGGCCATGCGGTTTAGTGCGTGAAACCACAACAGCTCCTGAGAGCGAGGGCTAAACTAGATTCGCTTGAGGCATTATCCGTCCCATTAGATTGTCCACGGTGTAGTGTAGTGTAGTGTGTTTTGGGGAGCGCCCCTATTGGACGCCCCACGTTTCTGTCTGTCTACTTGTACTAAATTTATATTGATATCGAGACGTCCATAACGGGAAGTGCGAAGTAGCCGGCATTCCCCGTTATGGACATATGGATGTCAATTTGAATTTAGTACTTCGATCCTTTCATGTTCCGCTCTAGAGTAGTTCAGGCCCTTCTTGGCGAGACCTGCTGCCCTGGGGCTGTATTGTCACTTGTCGCTGGCTGCGCAGGCGTCCACTGTCCTTAGGTAGCTACGTATTTCGTTGGTTCCAACGGAGATATGGTCAAGTTCAGGGGCTAGCCAACATAAGCACAGTCTACTTGAGCAACAGATAGCCTGCCGCAGCTGCATCCTCTACGAACGGTACCAGGCGCGGCAAGCGAAACTTGTCTGCGCCCCCAAACTCCTCAGAAAGCCAACGCACATATGAAAGGAAAGCTGAGAATCGGGACAAACAATGACGGCAAATGCATAGCAAAATGAACGATGGAAATGATCGGCAGATGAATGTGGCTAAGGCACAGAAGGCAATCCACTCACAGGTGCGAGAGTGAACAGGCCGAAGGCGAGCGCCTGTAAGCTATTTCCAGTGGGCGGCACGAGAGACGAGGCCCCCAGTTGGGCTGTAGAACCCGAGAGGGCTCTACATAGCTCAATTTCAGAGTAGGGCGTTTTACTATTTTATTGTCTACTTACTAGCGATTTCGTGCGTTTGTGGTCATTCGTGTTACTGACACTCACTACTCTCTACGTATACAGGCATTTGTTTCGGCACGAGCGTTCCTCTACTCACACAGGCGCACCCTAACTTGTGCGAAAAGAGACTTGCTACAAAAACGTTACACGTGCTTATTTCTTGATACAGAAGCATTCGTTCATCAAATAAATGCAGTGCTTTCATTCAGCGATGGTGGGAGGCACCTCGTCCTCCCCAGCCCTTACGGAGGGAGCGGGACTGTCGGGCACTGGGAGGATCCCCACCTCTACGTCTTCAGCAATACCCCGCCTTCTTTCCCTCGCGCCCAATCGCGTGTTTTGGTGCATACTGCGAACAATGTTTCGAAGGCGTGATAGCAGGCAGTCCACTGCCCTTGCAGCAGGAGACAGCTGCCCGGGGACCCCAGCGCCCCCAAACATGGGAGCCCCCACAGCGCCAGAACGAATACCTGCTGCGCCCAAATGCTGCAGATTGGGAGGCGCCCCTTGGGGCCCAGAGGGCCCCGGGCGAGCCCGAGCTGCGCGGGAGCGCGTCATGTAAGAGGGCCCCCCCTCGTCATCTTGCGGACAAAACCTGCGGGAGGCGACTTGCATGCATGTGAGGAGAGTGTCCAGTTGAGTTGATTTCAGGGTGAGGGGGAGCGGGGCAGCTGGGGGAGAAACTGGTGCTGCAGCTGCCGCTGCACCATCCGAGACAGCCTCTTGCTGCAGCATAAATTGCTGTTGCTGCTGCTGCGGCTGGCTGCCAGGACTGTCTATGAGTAGACAGCCCGGCACGAAGCAGCGCTGCGGCGGTCCCCACAGAGGCGCCTCACTTGGAATGCTCACAACACGGCCGGGCACGACGAGTCCTTTCGTCGTCGCTGGGAGGAAGTACCCGTCGTTCATATTCTCTACAAATATCTCAGCGCTGTCGCTTTCCCCCTCTCCCCAGTCTTCTCCCCGGCAGCTCGCAGGGTCCTGCAGCTCGAAGTTAACACACAAATGTGGTACAATAGTTACGGAATCTTGTCTAACAGAACCCTCCATCCCATCATCGTTCCAGTAGGGGCCCAGCATATGACCGTGCCGCAACCAACATTCCTCACATCCAGAAGATCAACGAAGCCTCAGCAAAGCAACCGAGAACGGGAAGCACATTAACATACGTACAGTGTCTTTACAGGGGAACGGATGCTCACAGAAACACTAAACTACAAGCGGAAAGCGCACAGTGTGGATTAATTGATAATGAACAAAAGGCAAGCAAGCGCATGCGTGTGCACACAGAGCAAGATAAACAACAAAAACATGAACTTGTATTCGCAGTTAACGGTCTTCATTAAAAGTAAGACAAATATAGGTAAATAGAGAGATATACATAGTCTCCTAGAGCTAAACGTGCACTTTATGAACCGGCGAAAGCTATATTAAGGCCAATGCCATGGACTCGCAGAAAATCGCGATGAACAAGGCAGTGCAGGTTGCAGGGGAAGACGACACATGACCTACCTTGAGTGTTGAATGCAGGGCCTCTCTGTGCAACAGGTGGTCACTGTAAACGTCAAATGGCAAAAAGTTGCGATCATTAAAACTCCGCATGAGCTCCGTTCCACACTCAGCTGACAAAGCCGCTACCGCCTGCGCAGACACCACGCCTAGCTGTACTTTCGCTTCGTGAGGTCCTACGATTATACTTTCTATTCACTCTCCCAAATATAGTAAAATCGTGCGTTCCATTACTATTAGAAACAAAAGCATTGAAGACTACAAATAAACCTGCAGTAGTTTAGCTATCTTACAACTCCGGAATACTTATTGCTGCGCCACCTACTCCTATTAGCCACCCGACTCTTGCATCTCCACTGCTCTGATTCTGCGGCTACTCCGCATCCGATTCTAGAGATTCAGTGCCACCCGGTGGGGCAAGGGATACAGGAACCGGCAGACAAAACGTCAGGTATACAGGCCCCAATAAGAGCAGCATAGCCACCATTACAGCTCAATACCACGAAATACCGCAGCATTTGCAACATTTGCTAGCATGCATAACTCAGATGCGCAACATGAAACCCTGCTGCCTTCCATCTCCCGTCTTCGATCTCGACTATTTCCTCTTAAACTGTATTCTGCCCCTCGTGTTCTGTTTTTGCATTTTGTGCAGTCTATTTTGTGCGTTATCTCTCGTGTGCCGTCATGTGCATGCATTTTTTGTTTTCTATTTTACGTGAAGTCGCACCTCATGCACGAGCTCCTCCCTGCGAATCTGCTTTGAGCCAATGTGCCTATTCTTCTTCTTTATCCGTGTCCCGTCTTCCAACTCCTGCAGCTTCCTCTTCAGGCCAAACTTGAACTTGAAGCGGTAATAGAAATCCTAGAGCCGCATTAAAACAAATATTGAAGCGTATAAGCATATGCGCGTTGAAACATATCTAGAATGCGAATCCTTTTGAACACATAGCAGCATGCAAACATAGGTGAATGCAGTTGAGCATACTGTAGCATATTTGAACATATCCAAGCACACTAAGACCCATGCAATTACACCTACATCCATGCGAAGACATTCAATTAAATGTTCACCACACGCATTCAACTACATTTATGCACAGTATACATATGCTTGACAGATGCACACCAGTCCCAAAACTCCACGTGAATGCACTTAAACGCAGTAAGCAATAATCCAGTATGTTTCCCTACATTCGAACGTGCCCCCACACCTAAACACACTGGGTCCCCTTAACAGAACAGTTTACACAAGCCAAAATGTGAGTGGGTGCATGCAAATGTACACAGACTGAGAATAGCCAAAACCGTACATACACATTCGAGCGCCGGCGAACATAAATTTTTCACACACCAAGATAGGTTGAAAATGGAAGTGCTGATTTTCATGCTTCACTTAGACCCAGAACCACTCATAAAAGCCGTCTGGCAGAAAAGCTCATCTCGTCGCAGGCACAACGGTCGCGTGTACCCCTCCGCATGCAGCACTGTGTACTACGATGCAACGCAGAGACGCTCAACCAAGTGCATCAAACCTAACAGTGTGGACTGAGAAGTGATTACGGGCCCTGTCGCGAACAGGCATGTGTGGCCGGTTTGTGTGCTGCAACATGCTAATGGAGATATTTCCACCCCTGCTCTGTTTAGGTCCATACATAACAGATGTACACCATGTACAAATGCGCCCTGAGATCTAGTGAAGCGCTCATGCATGCACGTGAATGCATGCATAAGCACTTACCTGCACTAGAATACCCTCGACAAATAGGCAGCACTCAGAGAGCACATACACATGAAAGAAGCGACAAGCAAAGCTTTAACGAAGTCTAGGACAAACGCATCTGGATAACTACACTCAACAGGCCAACACGCAGCCGCTGCAGCAGGCCCACAACTTACGACGCAGTCTCTGGTTGTCTTGCCGTCGAGGCAGGCTGCGATCTTCTCGAAGTTTTTTGGGTACATGAGGTACTTCTCTACAAATGTTCGAGCCTCCGCCTCAGCCCAGACCGTCACCGCCTTTCTTTCTGCTTCTTGTTCAAGTGGTTCAAATACCTGAAACAAAACTCAGCCCAAAAATGCGCATCTACCAATGTAACAAAAGTACTGTTCCCCGAAACTTAAAGGCAAGCACACGTGATTCCAAAGCGCAAGCCGACACAGCACCAAGCGCAGGCACTGCAAAGGCCTATGCCCTATCCCTGAATGCGTTCCCAGATCCACCGCCGTCACTTACAACAGCAGCAGATGCTGATCTTGCTGCAATCATCGCCACAATGCGACTGCAAGCTCCCATGGTGCCCCACACTTGCTGCAGGAGCGAGTTGTTTGTGTTAGCTTTTTTGCATTGCACAGTGTCAGCTTGTGCATTTTTGTGTAGTGTTGATTTATGTGACTACGTGCATTAGTTTGTGAATCGTACTCTGGTGCTGTTGCATGTGTATCCACATTCTCTTTCCCAGTCAAAGATGGCCCAGTCAGGATCGGTTTGAATTAGTTCGATGGGGTGCACGCCTCCGTTTTCCTGTTGCTGCTTTTGCAGCCTCTGCCTCAAGCTCTGTCCCTGGGAAAAAAGGCACGATTCCCTCCAGAAAACCCCTGGTCCCGTCAAATTAGAAAAATTCGCCTGCATCCACTCCCGCTTGCTCTCCCGACTGGCCGCCTCCTCTTTCGCTCGCTGTCGGTCGTTGCCCGCCTCCCCACGCAGTGTCCGCCGTCCTGCACTCTCAACAGCTAATTCCATAACCGTATATTACGAACCCGTAGCCCCTGGCCCCGTATGCCCATGAGTGTAAAAATAGGTGCAGATAACTGTACAAGCACGTGAAGACAGACAGAGTATATATATATATATATATATATTA